GAAGAGGCGGAAAAGAAGCACAAGGAAAGATTTGAAAGCTTGGAGGAGACACTGCGCCAATTGAGGGATCCCAAGACAAATCAATTGTTAGTCCCGGCGTTACAAGTATCATAACACTCAAATCGGCGTCCCACCAAATTAAATGTGCCCGGAAACCCTCTGCAAGCAGAAAAGCCAACCAGATCGAATCTTGAGCACGTTCAAATCTCGAAATCAAAGGGAGACTCGCCCATGGACAGCTGAAATATTGGACAATGGATAGCTGGTACTCGGTAATTATGCACCCTTTTGTTTCTTACCATATTATAGCCTCTTCTCCACTATAGACTTAGATATTCATGACTTACGATGTAAGATAACCTTTCATAACAAGAGTACGAAAATTACCTACCAATTGACCGCTTTATTTCAGCAAATCTAGGCCAAATATTGGCCTTGTCGTTCAAGGATTGAAACTCCTTGATTGGCTAGTCAGAGGCACAGACGGGACAGGGTGTTATTTGATTGGACGATTCCACGACCCGCCCCAGCTCAGTGGTTGCCAGCGGCAACAGCCTACTAAGAAAGTACACAAACCACCAGTCGCGGCAACTGATGACTTCTCTCCATCTTTCTTCGCTCAGCGTCGCTCGTCGGTTTCTTGCTCTCACAAATACTAACCCATAGCATCGGGCGACAGTATCTCAGTTTTCAGCATTGTTTAACGTCCTTGGCTTTTACTGCACGAATAGGCGACGTTCTTTCATTCGTCTTGCATGTTGACGTCGCGAGTCTCGTGAGTTCTGCCCACTGGTTCCACTGGATCACCATCTCGTCTATTGTACATAAAGCCATTGGACACGCACTCGGTCTTTTCATCCCGTCTTCACTTCGATGTTGCTAACCTTTTATCTTAGTCCGAACCTTGCGACACTTCAAAGCGGTGGCTGACCTTCTAGCCCGCTCGTCTACTTGGCAACGACCGTCCACAAACTCGTTGAACTTTCGCATCGCAATATCCGAGCTTTTTATCAGCTATGGCTCATAGGCTAGCGCCCCGAGGCGGCATCGATCTCGAGGCCTTGTCCCCTAGGGATGCCAACGCCCAACGAGTACCCAAAGTGACCGACATCAAAACAAAGACGGCCGCCCAACTCAAGGCCGCCAAGGAGAAGGAACACCCTCCACCTCCGCCTACAGAGGTCCCCGAGCCTCCAAGCACCGATCGACCTGATGGAGCAACGTATCAGGTTGGTAAACTGCTCGGAAAGGGTGGCTTCGCAGTCTGCTACAGTGGCCAATTATTACCCACAAAGCAGCGATTTGCTCTGAAGATTGTCAAGAGCCACATGCCTCCCAAAATGGAACAAAAGGTTTGTGACAGGTAGAAGACGCATTGACACACATCTAACATGTTTCAGTTCCAAACCGAGCTCCAGATTCACTCAAAGATGAAGCACAAAAACATCGTTCAATTCTTAAGAGCCTTTTCATACGAAAAATGCACATATCTGATTCTCGAATTGTGTCCGAACGGCTCTCTCATGGATATGGTGAAGCGAAGGAAAGGTCTCACTGAGCCCGAAGTCCGCTTTTACTCAGTTCAGATCGCTGGTGCCATCAAGTACATGCACAACAAGGGCATCATTCACCGCGACCTGAAGATGGGTAACATCTTCCTTGACTCACAGATGAACGCGAAGATCGGTGATTTTGGTCTTGCCGCTCTGTTGGTGACTGGTCGCGATATGCACACCATCCGTCGCACAACTTTGTGTGGAACACCTAATTACATTGCTCCCGAGATTCTGGAGAAAGGAAAGAAGGGGCATGACCACATGGTTGACATCTGGAGCCTGGGCATCATCATGTACGCCATGTTTACATCGAAGCCACCGTTTCAATCCTCGACCACGGACGAAATTTACCGCCGAGCTCGAGAGAGGGATTATGATTGGCCATCGGCGGAAACATCACGAAGATACATCAGCCAGGAAGCTAAGGAACTAGTTGCCACGATGCTTCAAGATGCTGAAAACCGACCGGAACCAGAGGAAATTATCCAACACCCCTTTTTCACCTGTGGTTATATGCCTACCGAAGCGGAAATGAGCTCACGCCTGAGAGAAGTCCCCCCGGACCGTGAGGAATTTTACGCCACTCGAATGAGCAGTGCTTTACAAGCACAATCATACAGGAACTTCAAAGATATGTGTCGAGAGTGTGGCATCGGCCCTTACGCCCTAATTCAAGTGGTTCACACTCAGACGTGGAAGGAGATGGCCGCTGAGGAAAAGGCTGGGCTGACACCAATGATCCCTCTCGAAGAAGGAATTGTCTACAGACCATTCGAAGAGTGGTTGAAGGAGCAACAGCAGATAAAGGCCAGGTATACAGCATCCCTGGCTGCACAGGCAAGCGTATCTACCGAAGACCCTTTGTCAGCTACTCAACGAGCACCGACAGGTCTCCTTCGTCAACCTCCTCAGAGTTTTGCTGCACAGCAGAGGATGCAACACAGGCCAGCAGGCACTATGGTATCTGCAAAACCCCGCCCAGCGCCCGAAGCAACGCTTTCGGCTTCCCAGAGCTTACGTACAAGAACACGAAAGGAACTGCCTCGAGAAGCTCCTCCAAGGGAAACTGTTGAGTCTGTCGGCAAGAGCCTACGAACTTCGACTCGGTCAGCACCTCCGGCAAGGGCAGCGTCCCAGCAACCTGCAGAGCGACAGCTTTCTGAGCGACCTTCGCTCGACCGTCAAGCATCTGCTCCTGCCACCACAGCCCCTCCTGCGCCAGCTGCACCCCCTAAGAAGGATACTACTGGCATGCGGCCTGCAACACTGTTCAGCGCCTCCGAGCGGCAAGATAGAATCTCCGGAACGAAGCCCGACGCGGTTTTGGATCGTCTACATCGTCTTCAGAATGAACTTGAACGAGCTCTAAACTCGAGGACCATGGCTATAATATCATCCAAGACTGTTGCACCACCGCATCCGCATGTTGTTGTCAAATGGGTAGATTACACCAACAAATTCGGCCTTGGATATATCCTAAATGACGGTAGTGTTGGCTGCATTCTTCGAGACATCCCAACCACGGAAAACGGCAAGCCCGCCCTGCTTCCTCCTGCTGGGGTATTCATTCGCAGTGCCGAGAGACATATCGTTCGCGGTAAGGACGAGACGTACGAGGATAGGGTGCAGCCTCTCCCAATGACAGAACCTATCAAGTTCTTCGAGAATAATGGTGAGGCTGGCCTTTCGGAGGTAGTTGTCTCTCCAGAGCAATTTCGAGTGGCTGTGAAAGAAGATGGGACTGCGGGCAAGATGCAGCCCGGTAGGGACATCTTCCAGCATCGGAAGCGCGAGAGAATTATTCTCTGGAAGAAATTTGCTAACTACATGATTGCTTTTGGACGGGACGATTTCGTGCCGGTTGAAGAGACCGACCCGGCTGGTGCCATGTCCCCTGGGCAGAAGGGCACAGTAGCTGAGCTCGTCACATTTTACCAGCGATTCGGAGATGTTGGTTGCTGGGTTTTCTGCGATGGCCATCTTCAAGTACGTGACTGCATGTGGACGTTTTTGACATCAAGCTGACTTGCGTAGTTCAATTTCCCCGATCATACAAAGATCGTTATCGACCACACAGGGACCTGGTGTCACTTCTGGCACCTCCCTCAGGACGCTGCTGAGAGACTAGCAGCCACTGGCACTATCGGTGCCGCTGCACTTGATGACCGAGCGATGCTATCGTACCCTCTGCAGACATTGTTAAACTTCCAGGCAAAGCCTGCAGCCCCTCGCGCTGGCCGAACCACAACCACAACAAGAAGACGTCCTGAGATCGCACCTGAGTTACAGGGTATTCCTGCTGCCAATGATTTCCGACGGAAGATTGTCTTTATCAAGGATGTCGTGAAGGAATGGGTGACCAATGGTGGCCTGGGCAACAGTCAAATGAGTCGAGAATCCCGTCTTCGCTGGGGTGGTCACCGGGAAACCATCAGTAACCACGCACCCCAAAAACATGTATGGGTTACTGTCGGAGCTCGATGGGGAGATCAGCGTATCTCTACCTACGTCGACCCTCGAAAGCCTTGGGAACTCGGAGAGGATGTAGATCACTCGAGAAAGCAATAGTCATGATATGGCACGAGGAGAGCGAGGCGTTTTTTTGTCTATTTCTTGTTGACGACCATCATGAACAAATGATGTATTCCATGTAGGGTTATTACACTGAGTCGCTTGTTGGTTTCTGCGGCTCGTCGGCGTTACGAGAAGATGTGCATGGCGAAAGGAGTTTTGGACTTGATGGAATAGTTACCTTAGGCTTTGGCTTTAAGTTGAACAGCCTCTTAATGACAACTGCTTGTGCCTTGTTGGAAAATTCTACCTTGAGATTTTATTGGATAGCAACGATTGAGAATTGATGCTATCCTACTGGGAAGTCATCGGCGCCGTCTGCGTCGCATTTCTTGTCTTACGTTCAGAAAGGTGATGCATAATATCATCTTTACCAGAGCTTCAGTGATGATATTAATGAAGCATATCATACGCGCAAACCATCCCCAATTATTGCCAAGCACAAAACTTTCTAAATTCCATTACACTTAGCTCTTAGATCATGAATCTATCATAAATCTACCATGAATGAAAGCAAGAAGCCCTCAGATCATAAAAGCTGAAATGTTGTATATCTATGTTACACCTTCGTCATAATCTTCATGGCATGACAACCATCACTTCATCGCGGACTTGGCATGCATAACCTTTTCTTTAAAAACAGTCAAATTATACTATTCACAAATAGTCGCTGGAGTAACGCCGTCTCCGATCCAACTGACTCTATACAAAATTAGGACATTTGTCCACCAACGCCCATCCCGGGCATCAGAACATGAATACTTGGCCTCAAGAATGTTACCCCTTATTACATATATGTGCATGCATTCCATCATCATCAAAAAACCCGTTCGCTGTCAGCACGTTTTCCCCCTTAATCCGATGTCCCCGAAATCAAGCATCAGAAAAGTACTCATCATTATACTGGTGACCAGGAGGACTGGTCCAGCTTCCACCACCACCAACGACGTTCTCACGTGAACCCCAATAGCCGCTTCTCGAGCGCTTGTCGCGTTCAAATTCGGCCCATCTCTTCATGGTAATCTTGCTGCTGTCAAACTCACCCTCATACTCGAGGCCTGCCTTCTTCGTCTTTTCGCCAGCTGTCTTTCGAGTCTCGCCCCATGAGAAGTCATCGAATTTCCAGAAAGCATAAGTAGGCAGGACAAAGTTCCAGATTGGCAGTGCCAGCAGATAGATGAGCATCCAAACAATGTAGGACCAAGAGTGTGCGGTGATGACAACGAGAAGACCAGGTAACCCAAGAATCAATCCCAAGAGAACTAGGGGAATAATCTGTGGTGGCGAGTGGATAATAGATGTGATAACTGCAATTGTCAGTGATTGTGTCACGTTGAGAATTAAACATTACTTACCGACGTAGAAGGTAAACGCGATAGCAGCAGGGAGAACCAGAGTGCCGACTAGTTCCACGAAGATGATAAACTGCATCGAGAAACAGAAGGTACCACAGAGATCACGGACTAGAACTAGCTCCATCAGGTTGTGGATGGTAGAATTGATCCAACGACGTCTCTGAGAAAGGAGCACCATGAACTCGTCCGGTACAGTGGTTTTGCATACTGCTTGGGGAATGAAGACCTGCTTTCGCTTTGGGAATGTTCGAAGCATAAGGGTTGTCAGGAAACGATCTTCACCAAGCAGATAGAGGTTCTTCTCGTGCAAAGTTTCGACCACGTTCTCAGAGTAATGTTCAACAATATCGGGGTTAGCCAGGATGGGAACCCAGTAGTTGTGACCACCCTTGGGCGCCTTGATGCGGTACATGCAGAAGCAACCAGGTAAACAAGTAACACCACCAAAAACAGACTCGAACGACTTGGCAAGATGATGAGAGACAAAGTACTCAAATACTTGAATAGCTGTGACCCAGCTGTCGCGTTTGTTGGCAATCTTGGTTTCACCACAAAGACCCATGATCTCAGGATCTTTCACCATTGCAGATATCATGTGTGTCAGACTGTCAGGGAAAACCTTGGTATCGGCGTCAACCATGAGGATAATTTCGTAGTAATCAGGCGAGATTCCCGTAACCTTCCAGAGGCCGTTGAACATTTCGTACTCGAGTTCTGTCATTCGTTCATCGAACATGACCTTTTGGAGGAACGACATGAGGATAATTTGACTATCTCGCTTTCCACGGTTACCGGGCTTGGACTTAGTGGCTTCATCAGGAGTTCCGCACTTGACCACAACCATCATGGGCACTCGCTGCTGGCGGTCAGCAGGGATGCGAGAATTTCTTCCATAATCGTAGAAGCCGCAATAGATTTTGGCCATGTTGTGACGCTTGGAACCACTGGCGACAGCCACGTAGGAGAAAGGCTCAACCATGTCAGGGGGGATAGAGTGATCTTTCAGCATGCCCAAGCATACGTCAGGTGTCGACATTGTTTCACCCTTGCCCTTGATGATACCGTCACAGATAACAACAATAACCTTGTGGCTGTTGGGATAATCGGTAGTTGCGATCGAGTCCAGAGTGGTTCGGATACCCTCCTCTCCTTCAGAGTATGCAGTGACCAAGCACATCGTATGAGCCAATGGAAAGCCAAAGGGCATCCAGTCAGAAGGAGGCTGAGGAACAACAGCATCATGAATGAAACCAGCGGGGCCGGGTCCATCAGTAGGCGTGCTCGAGTAGGGGTCAGATCGAAGGAAGCTGGCACGGCTGTCGTTGCCCTGCTTGAAAATTGAGCCGGGTGTCAGAAGTTGGTTCGAGGCACCTTGGCTAGCCATGGTTGTCGGCATGCGGCGTCCAGTTGATGCCCGAACATCAGGGCCACCGACAGACGAGAATCGAGAAGTAGTAGGAAGGAAAGATCCTCGTTTGCTTGTTCGGTCTGATGATCCATAGACAGTGCTTCCAACATCTCCAGGTAGTCTTACAGGAGCACGGTAGATGTCCTCTGACCAATCTTCAATTTGCTTGTTTCGTTTCCTACGGTCAGAACTCTGGGAGGTCTTAGTAGGCGCATACTTGCGGCAAAGGAACCATTGGAAGATGATAGCCAGCAGAAACCGAACACCGACAACTGAAAGGATGAGAACGAGCGCACAGTAAAGGACGATCTTGGAGGCAATGCAACCAATCGTCTCAGTATCCACAGAGCCAACCTTTATGATTTCCTCGAAACATTCTGCGTATTTCTTGTCTGAAGAAGACTGGAACATGCGAGTAACGTCGCGGCCACGAATAGCCTTGTTGACTTCCGAGTCCTTGTCTCGCAACTCTTCAAACCTCTTGGGAATATCAACCTGGCTCATGTTGAACCAACGGAGGAGATCAAGGTCTAAGACATTTCCAGAGTAGACTATGAGATTACGCGAGCTGTTCTTGATGTCGTCCCAGGTAAAGTAAACATCTGCGGAACCACTCAAGTCAAGATAAAAGGCATTCCTAGAGTTTAGCGTCGTATGACAGCCGTAACCAGAATAGTATGGTGTGGTCAAATTAACCTTGCTTGAACCGTCTTGGTTAAAGGTTGTGCAAGGGAAGTACCAAGCCAGATCGCCATCCTTGTTGGTTGGCACATCTGAGTCTTTAGCAAGAGTAATCAAACCCTTGCATCGGCCGTTGACATTTTGAAACAAAAAGCTACCATCCTGTCCGCCGTGCTTTTCGGGAAGATCATAAAGAACATTGGGACCTAGTCCGTCCGAACGGAGAGGCATGCCCTGGGCAGGGGGGTGATGAGACTTCGACAAATCGTAAGCGACACCGTGGAAGATCATGTTTCCGCCGTCAACCTTATTGACACGTAGTCGCTCGGCAGGGGCTCCGCAAACCGTTGCGGTGAAACCAAAAGTCAGAAAACCAACGATGGCCATGATGACGAGGATGATACTGATAAGACCCATCTTCTCGCGCCAGGCCCTCTGCTGCGCCCTCGTTGGCATACCACAGCACTTCATGATGAATCCGGGAGCCCAGAAAGTGACGATTGCGCAATAGACATTCCAGAAGGTAGGCGGTCGAAGCTGCTCTTCTATACGCTTCGGCGGTTTCGAATGGCGCTTCGATCTCTTCTTGATCTTACCTGATTTTGTGCGATCTGGGGTGGGCATGGTAGCTGCCACAGCAGCGCCCTTCTCCTGCTCTCCGCTAACATTTCGTCTTTGTCGAGGGGAACTGTCCGAACCACCGTCGTTCAAGTTCGAATTGGAGCGGTCTGTCGAAGCTTCGAAGTCCTCGTAAATAGGGTCATTTCCTGTTGAGGATGGCAGAACGTTCATGTGAGCTGCATGTTTGTGGTAATGGTAGTTGCGATGGTCTCTGTCGATTCTGTTTCTCTCCGGGCGAATCAAGCTTCGTTTTCGGGATATGGGTTGATCTGGGCCAGCGCGACGTGAGTGGCCATCGGGAGATGTTGGCGACAGAGGCATGCTCTCTGTATTTGAATTAACACCGATTGACTCTGCGAACGAAGAACCGGATCTCCCACGTTGATGTTGAGCCGTATTATCTACAGCATGGTAGCCACCAGTCTCGATATCGACAGGTCTCGATCGCCTTGAGGGCGAGTTGCGATAAACATTGCGCTGATTATAACTCGGGCTTGCACCCGGCCTTTCGGGAAGAGACATCGTCCTGGCAGAGCAATGTTAGAAGGAGACAAACCTCGTAAGCCAGACGTTAAAAGCTTATGCGGGCTGAGCGCCGAGCTTCAGGGAACTTGACCCTTGGGTCGGAGGGAAGCTGAAGGAGGCGGTATCGAGTAGGAAGGTGCGTGTCGATCAAATCAACAAGAAAGGGGAACACGATATGTTGAACGCCAAGGTACAGCAACATCAAATATTCATGTAGGTGAAAAGCCGACAAGACATTGAAGAGTCGAGACGAAACAAGACAAATAAGATCTGCGACTTACGAAAGGATATGTTGTGGTTGTTACAACAACCTCTCTCGAGGTTTAGGTTTGAGTTGGGAATATCCCTGTAGAGGTGGAAAGTTTCCTGGGTGTCGTTTGTCGAGAGTCGACTCGATCAAGGCTCAATGTGGAGAGAGGATCATGGAGTGAAGTCGAATTACAAGTAAGAAATACTTCTCATCCAGTCAGAGCAAAAGAAACAGGGCGCCGTTGTTTGGAATTGACGAGAGAACTGAGCGACGATGGCGTGGAGCAGAGAGAGCGAGCGAGTAAGTGAGTGATGGGGCGACCAGGGTTTTTCGGTTATGGTAGCAGCAGGGGACGGCAGTGCTTGCTTGGACCTGTTCAGTGTTGTTGTAATAAGTGACAAGAGCGAGAGTAGGTAGGAGCGAATGTAGAAACCGAAAGACAACAAGAAGGAAGCGACCGAGTGAACGTCCCTCGAGCAAAGACCACGACAAAGAACGGTTGTGTCTGGCTGGACTGGACGGAACGAGTTGAGGTGGGAAGAGAAAGACGGGAGCGAACGAGAGAAAGCGATTGAACGGCCAACGGTCTTGTTGCTCCTTCCCTTGCCGTTATCCTGGGCATAAGAACCTTGTGAAGGGGGCGGATGAAAGCCAATTAGAGAATAGCCTTTCCACTGATGGTTGCACTAGCTGAGCGCGCTAGGTCGAAATAGTCCGAGCTTGTGGCCTCTTCGGCTTGAGATTTGCAAGGGCCATCTGACTGTGGCAGATGTGGGTTAATGGCCCGGCGGTTGCCCCAGCAGCTCGATTCAGATGCTTGCACTTATCTGAGAAATAGGCTCATCGGTACTCCCGTTCCAAGGAAAGAACCCAGATGCTTCGAGTCTAAATTCTTTGTTGGAACAATGGCCAAGGTATAATGAAATACATACATATATCTCGAGCCTGCGTTGCTATGATAAAAGGAATCTTTTTGACCCATATCTGACATATCGTCGTCAATCACACTTAGTGGGTTGTTCTTTAGCTAATTCGAGATTAAAACACGCGAGTAATTTAGACTTGCCTAATAGTGAATCATGGTGCGGATAATTCCAAGACCTGGATTTATTCGGTTGTCCACCGCTGTGATGAAGCGGTGGTGTTGGTGTATGGTGTGCATTAATGCCAGTTTGTACATATAAAACGACCTTTGTAAACCAACCAAACTTGACTTGCGGACTCACTTATCCGCAGGAAAAGTGAGTCCGCAGGAACAGGTTCTGCCAATGCAATAATGTAGCCAAGGGGTTAGTGAATTAGTCGCCGCTATCTCGCTTGACAAGCCGATCTGATCCTTTGGTGTAATTGCTACACTTCCCCCTTGGCTACGCAGATACCAAAGCCGAACAGACCCCTTCCTCTGTACTGTTTATCGACTCTTCGTCAAGGTAGTTCAGAGAGAACGGTTTGTTCTAATGATGGTGGCCAATGCCATGCTATCAAGGGTTTGTCCATCCAAGTTGTCGGGTTTAATCAGCAATCAAAATAGGCATTCCATGCATGGTACGGATCATTTCGCCCCGATGATGTCTCGAGGCTTGAGATAATAATCACCACTAGGGAGTGCTCTGTACCCCTGATTAACACTGTTCTTAGCTGGCTATCCCTACTCCATACCCTCTCTTTGCTTGCCTACTACTCTCAACATTGAGCTTAGTTCTTACTATGGTCCTTATGCACCATACCATCGCACTGGTGGTCTTCCTTTGGTACTATGCAGAACAATTCGACAATTATAGATCCCATCCCTCGATCGAGAAAGAGGAAGTCTATGCCACGTGCTAACGTTATTTACAGCCCAAGTGTCTAACCGTCAACCGTCTTCGTTTCCGTGGTAATACACCGTTTCTATTAAAGTGATCCAATCCCATCAATTACAGATACACTCAAACTCTGGTAGCAGCGGGCCAAATGATCGTCTGTATGTAGACACCAAATCTTTGTTCCCAGAATATTGCTCAAATAGTCACAATATCACGACATATCTGCTATTGATCCTGCAGCATGCTTCGGCCGTTGAGGTAAGTCCGTAGATGAACGGGCCCCTTGTTTGGCAGCTCTCCATTTGAAGCAGCCAAGTCATCTCGGTATCATATTATACAGCCAGGCGTATCACGCTGGGCAATATATAGAGTTCAACACAAAACTCGGATCTGCCGGAGCAAATGATGCAGGAGGCTAAAACCCAGTAAGGTATCTGTGCAGACTGGATGATCCTCGACGTGAGGAAAAACAGCGGAATGGCTTACACCAAAAATCGCTGATCTCCCACCAAAGCCCTTCCGCTGTATTTCCTCACCCCCTAGATGATGTACTTTCTGGCTGCATGTGTGCATGACTGGCAGACAACAGTTTCGATACGAGCCAGATCGACGACATCAGGTGGGTAGAACTGACACTAGCTTATTGTTTATACGAGAAGTTTCACGGGACTATAGAATCTTCGAATGTCGTGCGAACAATCTGTGCTTAGATGAGATAAAACCGAGTCTAAACTCTTCTGTTGTTTTAAGAATATAGTTAGGGTATTTTGTTGGGCGTTTTGAGGTTTTTTAGGTGTTTAAAAAAAACCCTTCACATAGCCTATCTAGGCCATTCAAGTGTCCGTCGTGTTCTACAACAAGATATCTAGACAACAGGGCGTGCTTCAGCCAAGATAGGAACATGGTCAGAGTACTTGTCAAGTCTGCAAGTGTGATTTAACAAACTCATTAAGAAAGTTGGGTGGTATCCTTGAGCTGGCAGTGGCTTTGTCGTGGGGTTCCCCAGGCTTTAAAAGATGCTTGATCCCGGGATGAGTGGAAACTCTGGGGTTTGACCAGATCCATGGTGAAGTCATAAGCAACAGCAGTTCTGACATGGCTTGAGGTATAACTTGCGCCTAAAAAATTTTAAATATAGAACTAACTTCTCGAGTGTATGATAGGATTGTTTTAAGGTATTGCGAAACGGTCACTCAGCATGTGGATGGATGGATGGCTGGATTAAGTGGCAGCCGGGACGGCCGGGTGGGGCCGTCCGATCGACGGCCCGACCGCCGTACTCTGCTACCAATATTCAAAGGCAAGGGAATCACTGGGGTGAATTCAGCTCTCTCCTGAACACAATAATAGATCTGAAGGGAGAAATCATGCCGCAGTACTTCCACTATTCGGTTCGACGAAACCTTGACCAAAGAAGTTGGAGGTTGATGTGTGTCCAGCTCCCTTGGAGTTTATCAGGGTCCCAGAATATACTATAGTTATATTTGTTCTGAGAAGGCCAATCTCAAGAGAACCCCTTCCTACCTTAGCCAACACCGCCCCATTCAAAAGGACGAATCGCAGTGGAAGACGAGTTTTGCCCACGTGCTACTCATCACTAAGTAGGCCACCTTGAATAGTTTTGGTCGATGTTTATACCTAAATACGACAGAGACCAACTTTCGACAGAACATTCCTCACGGCATGTTGTTAAATGCCCTGCTGGTTTTCTGTACTTGTCCACCAATATTTATGTGTGATACAGGAATTCATGTTTACCAAATACCCGGGCCAATTGCCGAAACAAATGTAACCTACGTGCTACCCGCCCACCGAAAGTTACAGTCGACAGAAATCTCCGATTTTCCTTTCCTTTACGAGGCGACCAGTGGAAGCAGTTCCAGGGTAATATCTGCGTGACGACACCGACGCCATGGCGGCTGCTCAGCCTTGTTTAACAGTAAGCGCTGCCACAATGTTAACAACCTGAACTTAGAATGGCAGACAAGGATGGCTCGGTGCACAAATCTAAGTGTACTAACTCAACTTAATTGAGTTGTATCGTTAGATCAGAGTTTGGAAGATCTACCACTAAGATGTAATGTTACAACGGCGAGGCTTTATGATAGCAGAACACATGAGTTGTTCATGTCAAAATGGCAAAAACGAAGCATTTAAGCGCCTATATGTCGTGGGCATGCTCTGGCGGTCAAGAAATAGCAATAGCCCTTTAAGTGTTAGCGCAGAAGTCTGCTGGGCTGGGCTTGGCCTGGACCCTTGAGTTGAGTTATTTAAGCCATGTTTAATGTCGTAATGGCGCTAACATGCAGTTTCGTTTATGGCACGACGTACCATTGGGAGGCTTTGCACAGAGGCTTTTCAGCTCTCCTACCAACGTGGGGATTCACGAATTGGGCTCGCAGTGGTTGTCATTTTAAGACTTGCCGGTCATTCCATGATGCTTTTCTTTTCGGAGAAGCAAGAAAGGGACAGGTCGGCCAATTTTGACCGTGCCATTTCCGCTTGAGGCGCTTGTCATGCCGAGCTTTCCTAGAGCTACCATTCCTCACTAACGCGTATGTAGGATGCTGAAGGGAAAGGAGTTGGATGTACACGGCGCCTGTGTATTTTCTGTGTCCACGTCATTATTGTGGTATTATCATTTCGAGATCTGAAGGCAGAAACAGAGAATGTGCAACAAGTGAAACAGGAGTAGTCGAGGTCACAGGGTGAATAGAAAAGTCCTGCGCCTGCCTTGGCCGATACTTGGTTGCAAAATACCCCTGCTCCTTCCAAATTACTACGAGTTCAGCTCTCGCAACGTCGACTCCTGCCTGCTACCTACCTACCTAAACAGCCTGGTTTCGGCGGTTGATGCCTTTTTCCTATAAGAAACCTAAGGTACCCAGACAGATCAGACCAGGTTCTGCAATAACCGGCCTTCTCGACCTACCTACTAAGGTAGTAATAGCATCTTCGGGACTATATGACTTAATCGTTTTCTTGGTTTAAAGGGGATGTTGAAACATCCACTCCTCTACTCCGTACTTGTTCTTCAACGAAACAAGAGACAACATTTATTAACCCGTTAGGCAAATAAATCCCCACTGGTTTTCTACATGGGTCCTTGCCATCGGTCGCCCACTGCTCTCCGCTTTCTTTGCTCACTTAGGCTCCCCTACAAGCGCATGTGCCATAATTTAGCTAATTCAGCTAAACTGCAGTGGGCGCCTGGACCTCATCACCACCACTGCCACCACGTTCACCACCACCACCTCACCTCACAAATATCGGACGGCGCAGCGCCCAGGACAAAAAGGACCTTATTGGATCTCAGCTCAAAGTCCACTCGCTCATCTTAATGCTTGGAATTTTCTTTTCTTCCGTCCGATTCTGGGTCTAGTTAGTCTTGGCTTTTCCATAATTCTTTCTCCCTTCTATCCTTCGTTCAGAAAAAATTTACCAGATATTCCCGTTTTATTGTGCTCATCACCTCATACCAATTCCAGGGCTCTCGCCTCTCACTTCAGCCTCCTTGGGTTCTCCCCAACTATCCTTTCTCCAACCACCCCCCTTGTCGCTCGCTGATCTATCCTCTGTTTGCCCGGCTACCCCTTGTCTCCGCTGCATCGCGGCGTTTCGGATCCATACCCAAATATCCTTCGTGCAGCATCCACTCCGTACGTTGCGCTAAAGTGACCGTCTGTCACTGACTACAGACTACAATCGCTTCTCCTCCACGGTCGCTATCTTCTGTCGTCTCGTGTTTCCTTGAGCGCGTCCAGAATTGGCCTTGACCCATTCGGTTCTTCGTGATCTGGAATATAGCACGGTCACCGAGTCCTGCGCGCTTACCAGGCTATCGAACTCCGCCTTTATCTCGACACTCGTTCTGGAATATACCCAAACTTACGCTTGGCTGCTTCGGCATTGCCAAAGCCTCACCATCGTTTTGTCATGGCAGCAATAAATACTTCATCGCCTCCTACCGCGGCAGCGTTGAACTACAACGAATCGCCGAGGCCCTCTTCGAGACCGACCAGTTCTTCTCGTCGTAGCCCTGTTCGCATACCTCATCTCGATGAATCTGAAGGCCCAAGACTGCGCAACGGACCGGTCTCGCCCGTCCGCGTAAACTTTCAACAGGATAATTGGGTTCAGCCTTCAAACGCCGATGTCGAATATACTCAGAAGCTATCGTTGAGGGGAGAATTAGCCGATCGTACTCTGCTTCCATTGCCTTCGCCCCCACAAAATGCTCCCCCCCCTCCTCCTTCCCACGGACTGAGGTCAGAGCCAAGGAGCTTTCCAGAGTTTCAAGATGATTCCCGCGGGGCTGAAGGGGGCTCTGAGCCGCGGATTGAAAGGATAAACATCGCCGAGCCCACCAAGACAACTCCAACGGACAGAATTCGCAATCAGGACCAGTACCGCAACAGTCGTGAATCAAATGAAACTGCTAGCATGAACCCGCAACAAATCTCTATAGAATCTTCGGCAACGACAAGCGCAAGCTCTTTATCAGGAATGAACGAGAATGTTGAGGGCCAGGCGATTGGCGATTCCCCTGAGAGCTCCATTATCGAAGGAAATGTGCTTGAGACCCAGCCTGTGCCTCTTTTTCAGTACCATCATCAGAAGGATTTCCCAACAAGCGTTCCAAGTGCAGAGGCCAGGAACTCGTCAGCTTCTGATCTCGCTGAGAGTGCCTCAAACATCGGCCGTCATCTTACTCCGAATTCGGGTAGCCATATGAGGACTTCATTGCCTCGGCCACCATCTTCGTATTCTGTCTATTCTGATTCACGTGGCCGCTCTCCGGGTCTTATGCCAGCTGGTTCACGTAAATCTCCTGATGTCAGAATGTCGACGTACGCCGAGTTGCTTCATGCGCCTTATCCTCAGCAGGCTCCGGCGCCATTGACACCTGATAACTCCAATCTTCGAACTGTGATTGGTAACAATGCGTCTCTTCTCAGCACACAAAAGACTCTGGACATGTATCGTGCCAACGTCAAAAAGACAAATGACTCTTCTATTCAGTACTCGTTCGCTATATTCTTGATTTCAACAGCCCAGGAGCAAGGCCTAGACTTTTCAGAACCTAAGGCACGCAAGAACAGCCCCAAACCTCAAAAGGGTCGCGACAGCCCAACTGCCGAAGGTTCTGTCTCAAGCCCGCAGGAACTGGTTCGTGAAGCCCGACAAATCCTACAGCGTCTCGCCAGTGCCGGATACCCCTTTGCGCAATACTATCTCGCGGATGGGTTTGCTTCTGGACTATTCAGTAAGGGTAAGGAGGATTATAATTCGGCATTTCCTCTGTTTGTTTTGGCTGCGAAGCACGGCCACGCTGAATCTGGTTACCGAACCGCTCTATGCTATGAATTTGGTTGGGGTTGCCGGAAAGACCCCGCCAAGGCGGTGCAATTCTTGCGGACAGCTGCTTCGAAGCGCCATCCTGGCGCCATGACACGTTTGGGCAAGGCCTGTCTATCTGGCGATCTTGGAGAAAAGCGCTACCGAGAAGGAATTAAGTGGATGAAGCTAGCTGCTGAAGCGGCTGATACTCAGTACAATTCCGCGCCATATCAACTTGGTTGCTTGTATGAGAATGGGTATGGTGCAGATATCTTCAAGGACGATATTCACGCTGCCGAACTCTTTACTCAGGCTGCGGAATTAGGCCACCCTGAGGCTAATTATCGACTGGGTGATGCTTATGAGCATGGCCTGCTTAACTGCCCTCGTGATCCGGCTCTCAGCGTTCACTTCTATACCGGCGCTGCGGAAAGAGGACATGCCGGTGCCATGATGGGACTGTGTGCGTGGTACATGGTCGGCGCTCCCCCGATCCTTGAAAAGGATGAGGAGGAGGCCTATGAGTGGGCGCGTCGATCAGCCGACTTAGGTGAGTGCTTTGTTGGTGCGGTGTAGACGATGAGGTAGCTAACTGTGGTACAGGCTTCGTGAAGGCACAATACGCCGTCGGCTACTTTACGGAGATGGGCATCGGATGCCGACGTGACGTTTTGGAGGCTAATGTCTGGTACGTCAAAGCTGCCGATGCTGGTGAGGAGCGAGCCAAGCAACGGTTAGCCATCATCCAGGCGGCTGTCAGCGGTCAGGGTACTCCCATGGAGGTTGCCCCTCCGCGAAACGGCAAGATGCAGAAGAATCCCAAGGACGACAAGGACTGCATCGTTATGTAATGGCAGTGGGCGAGTGACAGCCTGCTCTGGGATTAATATGAAGAGTATGACTAATCAACGACGACTACGCTTCCTCTATGAAAAGGCAAACGACATAACTCCCGCCTTGCGTTACGCTGTTTTTTGGTCAGCAGTAACGACAGGTTCATTCAGCGCTGTTATTTTTCTTTTTCCATTTTGACATACATCACATCTCGCATAGCCCAAATTCTCTAAACTGGGCGATAGGCTTGACGGCGCCTTCTTATCCTCATCTCCGTCGCTAGCCCCGTTTGGCACGGATGTTCACCTGTTGGAATCGTGTTTCTAGAATCAAAAGGGGGACCTTGATCTCGAGTAGCAGCATAGCATGAGGAGATGTAATTTGACGGTCAGGTGATTCATCAGCTCGGCTGGGATCTTTTTGGTATAATTCTCCCTGTATCTGTGGTGGGAACTATTGAAATAGGGAGTCTAAACATCTGGCGGTATCGAGAGCGAAGTGAGACTGTGGAGTGGGTTGATGATGATTATCATCTTGTGTTTGGCGTTCTTGGGCGACGTGACTTGGACATAATCATGATACAGTAATACAGTGCCTGCCATGAATGAAGGCTATGATGTAAACCTATTCTTTATTCGTTGACCTTGGAAATCGTCAATATGTGTAACGATCGTGTGGTTACTTATTGTTTGCTTAAACGAGCAGATTGGGCGAAGCACACGAACTTGGGCACATCATACAGCTCTAACAGCTTGACCGCAGAACAACGTATCCTCATAGGACTGACTCCCTTAAGGTTACGTAGTCTAGTTGGCCTTCAATGGAGGTAGCGTGGGGCAAAGCTCCCTCGATGTGCATATGCAAGGGGTTCCTCGAGACAGTGTATCAGATTGTCTATATCTAGGGTAAGCTATATACGAAATTCTTGAAGGCATACCTATTTGCTGATAATTGTTTGCCATCTCATAGCCCATAATTCTTGATAGACGTAGTCTTGCAAGTATGTTGTTCTTGCTTTTGTTGTAAGTAGGTGATTACTCATGTTTCTGTTGTTTGACAAACTAATTAGTTATTGATGGAAACTGACAGCCTACCAGCACACCACACTACGAAACTCAAACAACATGCAAGGGGCAAAATATGTAGAGACATTTTGTATCAAAGCAACAACGAGGCGTTTTGACGCAGACTGACGAGTGGTGGAAGGGGGTTGATACTTTCACCTGAGTTTACTGATTAATGGTGATGGTTGATATCAGTTTCGACTGGTTGTATATGAGCCATCAGTAACTGCATTATGGTAGACAGTGTCCTCCAAGTTCTGAGCACAGCAAACACCACGGGAGAGTAGTTTTGTGTAACTCGAATAAGTCTTGACTTAGTACTTGGTAACCGATGTGGCAAAGACACTGAGAGAGAAGTCTAAAGGGTTCGTTCTTTGGTCACATCACTCTCATCCGACCCCAGAACTCGGGAAGCCCGCCACTAGCCAGGAACGAACAGATCTCGATATGAGACATCATTAACAAAGAAAATCAATTTCCTCACAAGGGAGGGAATATAAGATATACATGGACAAGAGAACCCCTCTCCTTTTCCTCGGCTGGCTCGATCGAGGGCAGGGAGGGTCTTTGATGATGAGACAGAGAGCTGAATTGAGGGGCTCCTGATCTGTTTACTGTATTACCTTAAGACGCGTCTGGTGTGTTGACATGTCTCTCTTTTATCTGATTAGGGTATTTTTGGCTGTATGATGGGTCTTGGCAAGGGAAGATAGAAGCAATCGTGACTGAAAGGTAGGAAGAGGTTACCTAAATTGACTGCCTGAGATGGCAATAATGGTCAGCCGTGAAGCATAAGATGCCAAGCTTGTCCTGAATTGTGTTCCCCTCCATGGGGGTGTTTGTTTAAGACACAAGTGATACCATCCAAGCTTGAGTTGTCCAAGTTTCGGAAGCCGGACATGTCAGTAGCTGAGGGATGTGAAAGTGCCTGTGACGCAATGTGGTCCGTGAAGCAGAGAGGAATATTGCCAACTCTGCCAATCAACGATTCACCATTGACGTCGTTCTCAAGCACAAGACAAAGGTTTGCGGGTGATTCCTGGTTCCAGGGCAAGGCCGTGAGGAGTTATACTGCCGCACTGTATGCATTCACCCATGCAGAGCCCAACAGGTACTTCATGTACGCACTGACCATGCTCGGAAGTGGTTGCGCTGCTTCTCCACTGATACCCATCTTTCCGTATTCTTCTATTGGTCACTCTGAGAGATCATGCATGTCTTAATTAGCGCGTTGACGCGTTTTGACGCGTTTTTACTGACCTCACTCGCGTCTCACTCGCGACTTGTGCGGTTATCGCGCGACGGTATCAAGAGCAATGACTACGCTACAGGGCCAATGGCAAAGAGAACGTGAGGCATGCGCTGTAGACAAGCGGTGAATGATCTGACAAAAACCGCAGCATGATCGGGTCTCGATTCTGCTGAATATTTGTGTCATGAGAAGAGACTTGGCTTATCATGAAGCATTTGAACAATGATGGGGAGGGGAGGAAATGCACAGATGGTGCAACTTCAAAAAGAGGAGACTCCGAGGTCTCGATCAAGGAGATCGAACATTCTTCGGCGATCGACTGACTGTTTCGCATGAAAGTATTTACATCGTCATAAGCCAACTGACTTGGGTGTGAAGACAACTTCGCCTTTGAGGGTTACAGTGCTTCTCTAAGGTGCCTTCAGCCAAGATAGCCAACAAATCGCGCGTTCCTGCTTCTTCCAAAAGCGGGTGAGAAGTGAAAAGAACAAAGAGTGGTAGGGTTTGAAATGTAGCATGACCTCACCGACTCACCTGTGAAGGAGGTAACAGAAAAAGGTCACGCAGACACGTACACACCCACTATTCGACACCTGGACCTCAACCCCCCCCCCCCTTTGCTGGGTTGTTATAGAATGGGAGAAGCGGGTACGGAGTAGTGGAAGGTAGACGAAAAAAGTGTGCACATCAAGAAACATGAAGCAAGAAACGAATGAATCGGTGCCGCAGACATGATACAGCTTAGCATGCCTCTGTCGTCATTCGGGAGCTCTGACTGACAACATAGGACCCTGCAGCACATCAACGTGGAAGCGAACGGTACGGCAAAGGAATGGAAGGGTATGGATGAGATGGGAACCATGGATGGGATGGTCCTAGCCCGTGCCGCGACGGCTCGCTCCCACCAGCCAAGGCAAAGTTAGGTAACTCTACCTTTTAGCGAGGAATACCCTCCACTGCCCGCTGGTGCGTCAACGGAGAGTTTTTAAACTACTATGTAGACATCCATCAGACAGATTCTTGTGTGACTGAGGCACACCAAAGCTGCTCTCTCAGGGACTGCCTGATTGATTCAGCTTGGTCTGTTGGATCAACCAACCGGGGAGCGTAGCACAGAGTAACAATATCGCAACAAACTTATTCTTGTGTGGATGAACAAGCGCGACTCGTCGAAATTGCCTGTGTCAACTTGACAAGCGAAGTCATACACGGCCTGCGCCTGGTTTAGGATGAACCAATGTTGCCCGATGCATGCATTTCTTTTCAAGTCGAGAAACTAAAGCTAGCACACAAAAAATCTCTAACTGGTGTGCCTGGTTGCATGAGACCCTTGCAAGTTAAGTTGCATGTATCCATGTATGTGTAGCTTGAATGTCTTGAGTCAGGTAGGGCATCAAGCCCAACCCGGACGTCGAGGGCAGGCGGTAGTGCTAGAGAACCTATGAACCCTGAGGCAGTCAGTCAATTTCTCAGCCCAGAGGGAATTACTGTGGAGGAGAGGGCTCAAGTCAAACAAAGAAGCGAGGATATGTTGGTGGTCTACTCGCTATGTGTCATTGACTTGGATATTGCCATGTTGGTCCATTTGATTGCCCTTACGTCTCTATGCGTATCGGCCGGGCTCTGACGAAAAGAGAAAAAGACCATACGGAACTGAGATAAATAGAAAGCTCTATGTGTGGTAGGCATATGACCCTGTGTCGTATCCCGGTACGGGTAGAATAAACGGGAAGAGTAGCATCGTCGTATGATTGTGGAGATGTGTACATATTTGCCTGTTTCTTTCTGTCTTTCACTCTTTATTTTTTTTTCTCCCCTCTTTTTCTCCCACCGTTATGGGTTCCTGACACGCAAAACATTGCTGCTGCAGCATATATTCAGCTGCAGTGAGAAAATGATGTACATGTGCTTGTCTTGGATGTCCTGGTTATTTCGTGCATGACCATGAGGAAGGGATGGATGAAGGTTTATTGCTTTTTTGGTCAAACAGAGGGAGAAACATGGGGACGAATATGCAGGGCGGTTGATGTCAGAACTGTTGAAACGACGTCAAGAAGGCCCATAATCTCCCCTAGGTATAGACGGGAACAGATGAAGGGTTGGCAAGAAGGGCGCCTACTTTCTACCCTATGGCACCATTGGCTGGCTGTATTAATATTGAAGTTGAAGGGTTGTAGAGAGGGATGCATTATTCGATAGTATCATCCTAGATGCGGAGTCTCTCGAAGCAACACGCATGTAAGATTAAAGGTCAATCGAAGAAGAAAGAAACGAGGCATATGATATGTTATCTCGTGACGTATCATGGAAATGTCCTGATGCTTCCGGACAAGAAGAGAGTGTGCTGAGACAAAGATCGAGGCTGTCCAGGATGTCTCAAGTGTCATGGTCCAACTGGACACCCACCGACGCTTGGTCAATTCCGTACAGTGCAGCGCTCTAGCAAGGGTCTACATGCAGAACATATGCCTCATCTGCAAAGAAACATGTATCATGTGCGAGAAACATGGGTCTTTCGTTCCTTCTCTGCCAGTAGTCCGACACCGTTGTAAAAATCCATCGTCACTACCCGGAAACAGCGATCAGTACCTATTTGCGTTGTCAGAGGCACGACGTGCGTGTGCACCTGCCCCCCTGCGACACCCTAGTCCCCTTCCATGTCCGATTGATTCCCAACACCTGGAGGCGGAGTGCTCGGGAG